TTAAAGGAAGTAAACTCAATTTCACTTTTACTTTTCTGGACAGATTTGTGGTTTACATTGTTGGCTATTTATCTTGTTATCGAGGATGGCATTTTTCCCATCGCGGACAGAGCAAGGCCTAACGTTCAGGACTACCAGTATTGTATGATTTTTTAGATAATGTAAAAATACAGTAGCGGGCCTTTTTTAGTGGCCCGAATTTCTAAACAACAAAATAATGGGGACTATAGATTCTCAAGAGAAGTTAACTCTAATACAGTAATAAGAAATTCGTTTACTTCGATTCCCGCCAAATTGAGTGTGATGTTACTTGTGTTAACGTTTTCGTGTTATCAAGTAATATTGATACTTGATTTCCCAAAGTAAATACAGTATTCGATTTTTAATTATTTACGTGTGTTTTCCACGTTTACTGGCAATATGTCTCGACTGAAACAAGACCAATACGTGCAAATGAGTTGCAAAACTTAAATTCTGCACATTCGATTTGATACATCATAACCTAAGCTAATCGAATTTAAGTTCAAACTCAGACGTGCGTATCGGTATACGTCCGATACCGTATTGAAACATCAATGTTATTAATGTGTATCATTTACATAATCGATCAAGCCGCTATGCATCGCTGACCAATGATTAATAACCATCCATCGGTTGTGAATACTTATAAATAGTTAATTTACTGTAATATTAAGGTTTTAAGTCCCCTCATCAAAATTTTTTACATTTGAGAACCAAAAACTCTTTTGACGTAAAATGAGATCAATTCATATACTAGATGAATATTACCTGGCCATAACAGCATTAATAACAATTGGATATCAATTATTATTTTTCTCGATCGCCTGGGTTTTTCAAATTGATTCGGGCAAGTTTTCTTCTCTTGCCTATCGATTCCTCTTGTTTTTACAATTCAGCTAAAGTTCCTAACATTCTCTCTCACCTATCTCAACTGATTGATTATAATTGATAGTAACGGACTTTGGCGGTAAGATGAACTTTGCATCGCAACTTTCTTCTCTTCTGCCTAAAAACGATTATCTTATTTAACACTACGTTTTTACGATAACCTCATAGGTGGATCGAATACCGCCATTATCGCTGTTCTAACCTTACTTCTCGGAGGAGTAATTTTTTTTTTTTTTTGATGTTGATTTTTTTTTGTTTTTTCTTTGTTCATTGACTGAAAATATAAATATTTTTCT